ACACACACACAGAGAGAGAGAGAGAGAGAGAGAGAGAGAGAGAGAGAGAGAGAGAGAGAGACTGAAATTCTAGTCTGCTCCAAGATTTACAGGTAAGTTGTAAGGGACATGAATTGAGAAAATATGGTTTTGCTACTTGTTTCAAAACGGGCTAGGTGTGTGATGGTCCCAGCTTTCCCCTCTGTTACAAGGAAACATTCTTTTATGCATATTTTGGAAAACCATGCATCTGATTCTTTCTCTTAACTTCCTTTTAAATCCTTTGATATAACAGTAGGATACAATTCTAGTTGACTTCATGCTTAGCACACCAACTGGGTATCAGTCCCAGGCTTTCTTCTTCGTCTGTCTCTTTAAGTAGGGTAGCTTTGATTTTTTTTTCATACTTTGCTATTTTTTTCTACAAAAAATTTATGACAGTGTTATTTCTTTAGCTGGCAGCTCTGTAGTAATGACAAGAGTTTTGTAGTCTGTGGTAAATTCTAAAAAGCACAGAAAAGGTGAAATTACTCTATTACTTATGAAATGGCTCTTGGATCTTTCAACCTTTTCATCGATGCTTCCTTAAAAGGCCTTCACTCGCCCAGATCTGATCACTAGAAAGGCTTTGGAGCTAATCTCTCATTCACTAGGTTTTTGTACCATCACTTTCCTTTCTCCCACGGATTAGAAGCATAATGGGTTTCCAGCAAGTTGGCTTTCACATTTCCCTGAGATCTGGTGCCATCCTTCTTATCTTTATCTGTTGGTGTTTCTGGAAGAGGCCTCTTCATCAGGACTGATGACTGTCTTCAGTGTGACCTTGATATTCACTCTTGACTCCTCGGGCTGCTCCTCCACAAACAGTGACATGGTTCTTCTGCCTTCTCTGACCACATGGTCAGGGTTCTGGGCATTTGCTTGCAAATGTGTTGGGAAGTACACACCTGTGACAGAAGGAGAACTTGGACCCTTAGTATTTCCTTTAAAGCTACCATGCTCACTGTGGCTCCACCCAGCTTTTACCAAACAGTGCTAATTATTCACACCCTCTGGTAGAGGATTTGAACTCGGATAAGGAAACACCAATTAGGGTTGACATATCTGGTTGATGCATTTTTGAGTAGTAAGTCTTCTTTTATTAGGGATGACCACCTTTAGCTAGAAATTTGTGAGCAGGCAGCTGGTAAATGTTGGCTGGGAGAATTTTCTCATTTTGTTGGGTCTCTTTAAATCTGGCACATGTAGAAGGAGTTTCATGACTTGCAACGTGAATCACATCTACTTTATCTTCAAGGAACAGAGTACATTAGAGCACCATGGGCCTTTGTTGATTTTGATGTAAAATGTGTCTGGTTTGGGTTTTTTGACATCGACCTTTTTTTTTTTTTGTCTTCTGTCAGCATTCCAGTCCCTGAGGTTGATGTTAAAGCTGAAGACAAAAGACTCAGCTCAGGGATTTTACTAGTTCTGTCTTCCAAGCTGGCAAATGAAACTTAATGGATATATCTTCAGAGAACTTATCCACCCAAATATAGCTGGCACTGTAGCCAGTTAGTTCAGTGAGGTCTTTCTCCCAAAAGCATCTCTGTTCTTTGCTTCCTTCCAAAGGCTGGAGAGGAGCTTAAAGTGGACCACAGTCTTGTTACTATCAGACATGGAGGAAGGGGGTGGGGGGAAAGCGACCTAATGCTTTGCATACAAAAGCACTTGGAGCCTTTTAAGGCAAAAATAAAATACTATAAAATAAAATGGACTTGCAGATGAAGCTCTCTTAAACCCAGATCTTATTTTCGTAACCCATTTTAATATTATAAACCTGGATCTCTCTCTCTCTCTCTCTCTCTCTCTCTGTCTCTGTCTCTGTCTCTCTCTCTCTCTCTCTCTCTCTCTCTCTCTC